CAGGCAGGATGCACCAGTTTCACACCATTCTAAAACTGAGGACAAAATGATTTTTGGATTATATACAATCTCTGTTAATATAACCCAGAGATAGCAATGACTAAGAAATGGGTATTTCATTCTGGCCAGATAGTGTAAACTAGGACCCTGAGGCTCAGCTAGCTGCTATGGCGGCTAGCATTCTCTGACATCCCAGTAAAGCTTTGTAACATGGACAGAAGGAAAAACAGAGTTTGGATCAAGACAGACCTGGGTTTGAATTTTCACTCTGTCAATTACATATAGCTCACATATCACTGTGTGTGTGTGTGTGTGTGTGTGTGTGTGTGTGTGTGAGTGTATGTGCATTTATAGAGGAAATTTCCAGAAGTAGGGATGTTGAGCCAAAGGATAAATGCATTTATAATCGACCAATTGTTTGACCAATTGCACTTCAGCTTCTCTTTATAAGATATTATTATCTTTAGTTTGTGCAAGACCCTGATTTTGTTTTATTATATTCATTTTTCCCTTTATCCTTTATCTCCACTACCAACTGATCCTTCAACTGTTTATTTAGATGTATGGTTCCTTGAGAAATATTTAGTATTTCTGTGCATATGCTTTAAAATTCTACACAAGATATGACACCATATACTTTCCCTTTTTCTTCTGCCAAGATTGCAAACTGGCATAGTCTGCCGGCTCCCCTCGTCAAAACCAATCTGGCAAAACTACAGATCTGGGGGAAGCGTGGGTGTGAAGAGCTAACGAAAGAACCTATGCAGGGTCCTGCAAGGAGGTAGGAAGCTGATCTCGGCTGCTGGGCACGGCCGTGAGAGAGAAGGGGCTGGCCGTGCCCTGGAGCGGAGGCAAGGACTGGATGGGTTGGTTGGAAGGAAGCTTCTTATGTTCTCTTCTTCCTCTCCCTTTGCCTCTTCACCCCAGAAGTCAGAGGTGAGATGCTCAAGTTCTGAAAGTAATATTAGGGCTGTTCAAAAACCCAACGGGGGTGAGAAATTGCTGAAGATGATGCAGGCTGCTCAGTGCCCTCAGGCATTTATTCTTTAATCTCATCCTTTATTACTTCCTCCTCCACTGCACCCTCAAATTAGAGGGATGGTTGATTTCAACCTCAAGATGCAGCTTCCTGTCAGTGCTGCTACTTTCCAGATATTTCGTGATGAAATCCTGACCACAGCACCTTTCTAAGATGGCAGCAAATGGCAATCGTCCCTTCTCCTCTTTCTAAATCCACCTTTAGGCACACAACTACACACTAAAGAAAATGAAGTGTATTTGACAACATGCATCATCTGAAACAGAATTGTCAGGATGGCTGAACAAGAAATTTAAATAAGCATGGGAAACATACCTAAGTAGGTAAGGAAAGATATTAGCAATATGATTCAAGAAAAAGAAATCATTTTTTTAAAAAGTCCTGTGTGTCAATGTTAGTTACGAAGAACGTAATCATTGCGATGGGATAGCTAGCTGAAGAATGACACAGCTGAGACCGAGAAATCTAAGTTGTAAAAAGCAAATAGAAATAAAAGTAGAAAAGAAAATCTAACAAATACAGAGAATGAATGCGCCAACATCTGGATAATGTAAGTCCTAGGAGGAGAGAGGAAAAAAATGAAGGGCATATTTAAAGAAATAAGGAATATAAAATTCTTATATTTAAAGAAAGGTGAAGGAACCTAAGAATGCACACAAGACAGATAACGAAAAACTGACAACTAGACCCATCGTAGTGAAAGTTAAGAACCTCTAAGACAAAGAGGAAGATTCTAAAGGCTTCCAAGGGAAAAGCAGAAAACCAACCACAGAGTAGGAGTCAGATAAATGTCAGGCTTCTCATCAACAATACCGGATGTGACAAGAAAGTGAAAGAATGTTTCTAAGGTATAGACGAAAAAAAGTCAACCTAGATTTTTATATCCTTTTAAACTGTTATTCAGTGTGAGGTTGTCAAAGAAATATTCTCAGCAGTAGAAGAAGGCCTCTCAAGCTTTCCACACAAAGGCTTACACTGAAAAAATTCTGGGAAGAATACTCAGTTAGGAAGTGCGAAGTTCTTACCGAAGGGAAGGAGATAACAGAACAAGGAAGCCATTGCCTTTTTCCTCCCCAGGACCGATGTGGAAGAAAAGAACACCCTTGGCAAGCATTTAATTATGGCTTTTTGAAAAGGACATTTCAGAGCCTCTATCTGGAAATTGAAGAGCAATCACTGAGGCGTAATGGGGTCCCGTCTTCACTCTGGTGTGTGTCCTGAAGGGTAGCAGGAAAGGAAACAAGACTCTACCTGCATAGCAATACATAAACAAATAAATAACAAACACTCACTCTAAGTCAAAGGGCAAAAACTCATTGCTAACCGTGAAACAGTTAAGGGCATTTGTCACAGTACAGGTTCAACCAGTGCTTCCCCAGGTGGAGTCCACAGTCTAGAGCTGTGTTTCCTGTGGAACGTGGTGAGCTACACATAGAAACTGAGAGTGTTTAGAAATTTAGAAATTTCAAAGCAATTTGACAGAATGATTTTACATTCATTGAATCAAATAAAACATTTGGATTCATATTTGGTATGCTTTTATTCTGCAAAAGTAGTGATCTGAGACAGATCAAGGACAAAAAACAAAAAAACCAAACCTGATCTTTTAGCAGGAGTACTTGGAGAATCATCAGGTGAAACCAGGGGCCAGCAAACTCTTCCTATAAAAGGCCGTGCATTCTCTGTTGTAATTATCCAATTCTCTCATGGCGTGGAAACAGTCACAAACAACGTATACACTGAAGATCATGGCCATGTCACAATAAAATTCTATTGCCACTGAAATGTTCATGCGTCATTTTAATGTGTCAAATGTTATCCTTCTTTTGATTTTTTTCAACCATTAAAAAATGTAAAAACCATTCTTAGCCTGTAAGCTGTACAAAACCAGGCAGTGGATAGATTTGGTCAACAGGCATAGTCTGTCAATCCCTGCATTAGACTATATTGTCTCTGAGAATTAGTGTCTGTCGTGGGGAGAGGAATATTTCTGTGTATTTGATGACGCTAATTTTCTTTTCAATAGGAAATCTATTCAAAGAGCTAAAGATATATACTGAGAAATCTCCCTCTCATCTCATCTGCACCCGCCTATTTCCCTGCCAGCCATGATCCCTGTAAGTTAATTTTAATAAACTTCCTGTGTGTTCCTTGAGGTTTACGGCAATATTAGCAAATACATATTCACATTTCCACACTTTCCTACATAAAGGTAGCATGCCGTTTATACTGCCCTCCACCTCGTTCTTTGCACCTGCTGCCATCCTGGAGATGTTCTATACTGCAGTAGAGGACGCCTCCCTCATTAAACAGTTGTATTCCATTTTGAGGCTGTATCATTGTTTATTTAATTAGTCCTCTCTACGTGGACACTTGGGTCATTTCCAACCCAATTCAGAATAATGGGGCAATAAAAAAATTTCTCATGAATCACCGTGCATGTGCTTGTGTGTGGTGTGTGTGCGCACACGCGTGCGTGTGTGCTTTCATAGCATAAATTTCTAGAAGAGGGGTCACTGGACCAAAGGATGAATGCATTTATAATTTTAATAGATCTTGCCAACTGACCCTCTGTGGGGGTTTTGCCCTCCCACCGGCTACATTTGAGAGTTCCGGTTTCCCCACGCAGCCTTGCTAATAGAGCAAGTTGTCACACTTTTGGAGTTTTTATCCATTCTAATAAATAAAAATGACATCTCGGTGGAGTTTTAATTTGCATTTCTCTTATTATGAGTGACCGTGAACATGATCAGACCTACCCCCAGCAAATGAAGCCTCTTCATGCAGAACTGGAAAAGGGCATCCCTTCTGGGAAGGCGAATTACAGAAAGTCATTGCCTCTGGGTCGGTGCAGATCTTGCTGATCTGTGCGTGGGCGAAGGTTCAACTTCCACCCATGCCCCGTAGGCAGGATGCCTTTCCGCAGGGCTCTACGCCCAGCAGCCCTGATGGTGGTTATTAAAGCATCTGGTGCGACTGTAGCCGGTCCAGGTGGGACTATCCCAACGGAACCAGGAGGGGAAATAGCATCCAGGTGAGGGTAGGATGAGCTACATAGTTAATGAGTCCCAGTGTAAAATAAAATGTGGGACCCTACGTTTTTAAGAATTTCGAGATGGCCAGGGCATAGCATTCAACTAGGTGCAGTGCCCTTCTGAGCTCTGGGCTCTGTGAGACTGAATGTGTTGCAGCCCAGGAAGTGGGCTCTGGGTGAGGGGATGCTGCCCCAGGATCCAGCTGGTGGCCAGCACATTCTATGGACCCATCTTCCCCAGGCTAGCAACACAGGAGAAGAATGTACCACGTGGAGGATGTGAACTACAGCTCCCCAAAACATGGAGACCAACGGGTTCTGTTCTCCCTCAAACAGGCCAGCAGGAGCTACGCTCACCCAGGAAAGGGGAGGTATGGAGGGCTGGGTTTCGCTTGTTATAATAATGACACATGCGGACATGCCCAACCCAGTGCTTCACATTCGGTATCTCTTTTAGTTCTCCAACAAGCCCATACGGTGGGTACCAAAGCTATCTCCGCTTAGAGGAGGGAACGAAGGCTTAGGGAGGTGGTTCTGGGGGATTCGACTCAGCCAGTCTCACTCCAGCCTCTGTATTTTTTAACCCCTTCTACGATTTTGCCTTTTAGCAGTTTGTCGTCACACCAGCAGTGCCTGGGGCAGTGCGTGTACACACACACACTCACACACAGTTTGCCAATGAATTGCTTTATTCAGAAGAGACCCTGGGACAGTAGCTGGTGCTGCTAAACAAGAAGCTGGACTTGGAGGAGATCAGTGGAAATAGGGAATCTTCCTACTGCCCAAGGAGGAGGGGGAAAAGGGGCCAGGCATGCACGCCCAGGGCTTCTCATTCTGGGTAGAAGCCTTCTATCTGGGGATCAAAGAGTTCCTGGCTTGCCTCTAGGATGGGCGAGGGGTGTTTCCTTCATTGCCGGTGGAGAGGAGCTAGAGAAGGAAATTCAGCATTGTGTGGTATGGTGAGGCTTCCAAGGTTAGGGGACTCTCAGCACCTGAGGGCCTTCCAGTGCACTGCTTATTGTAGTATTGATACTTTTTATTATAGGTTTTCTGGTTTCTTGCAAAACAGAAGGCAGCCACTTTATCACATTGACACAGTTGTCTCCTACCATAGTCCTGTTTTGCTGAAATCACAAGAAAATAAACACTGAATGGGGTGGGGGTTGTTAATAGTCTATGGCTCTTCGTGGGAACCTTGGGGTAGAAGGCACAGTCCCTGTCCTCCAGAAACTTCTAGTCTGAGACAAGCACCTATGCTTCAAGTGTTTCTGACTTATGAAGAGACAGAGTTTCTTCTGTCCTTGGGAAGGCAGGACCCAGTCTGATGGGGACGCCAGCAGCCAAGCATCAGGAGACTGTGAAACGCCTTCCTGACAGCCACTGTCTCTTTCTTCTTGTTAACAGATGCATCCAGGTGCAAAGCTCCAGCCCCTGGGGCCTGGGGATGGGTCGTGATTGGTGTGAGCCAGTCATGGTCATCCCTTTCACCTTTGCAATGATGGGTCTCTGGTTGCACCTGACCTTGTGCACATGGCCAGTGCTCCAGAAAGGGAAGTCACCTGGGGCCTTTGGGAAGGATTAATTTCCTCCTAAAGAAAAGCCTCTTTTTCAGGATGAGGCCATGAGGCTTGGAGCTGCAGCATGCGTCTTGGTATCACATTGCCGACATGGCAGAGCAGATTGGGAGAAGGCTGGGTCCTTGACGCCGCAGTTGAGAAGCTGCTCTATCCCTAGCACTGTCCTCTTCCAGAGTTCTGTTACGCGAGAGTCAGACTTCCCCAGTATCCGAGCCTCTTTTAGCTGGGTGTCTTATTGCTTATAACCCAAAGCCTGCTAAAGACACATGACCCTACAGAGAGGTCACGATAGAGAGACATAACTTTCCATCTTAAAGAACGCAGGCTGTCGGGTGAGAGCCTGTGCTTTCTCCGAATCCCACGGTGGATCTGCTGCCTGTGGGCACTGGGCAAACCCATGCAGTGACCACCCAGCTCTCCCCTCCCCTTCAGAGTCAGACTTTCTCCAGAATGGTGTCTATACTTAACTGTCTCAGCTTCACTTCCTGCTCACTCCCCAACCCACTCTGATCTGGCTTTGCCCTCACACTGCATGCGAACAGCCCGCACTGAGGTCCTCAGTGGTCTTTCTACCTCTAAATCCAAGGTGGCTTTTCAGCCCTTATCCCGGAGACCCCTCTGTTAAAGTGGCTGCTGTTAATCACCTCTTTGTCAGCTCCTGGACCTTCTCTCTCAGCTCTCCTCCTCCCTCTCTGACCACCCCTCCTCCTCCGTCTTCTCTCTGGGCCTCCAAACATCAAATGTGTGAGCACATCCAACTCTTAGCTCTCTGCCGCCGACTCCTGCATCTGTCCAGACCCCTCCTTGGAGCTGCGAGTTCCTACATCCAGCTATGGGCTGCGCATCTCCCCGGGGGTCCTGGAAACCTTTTAAACTCGACATGCTCTAAATAAAACTCCTCCTCCCCTCACCCACCAGGAACTCCTCCAGGGCTCCAGCCACACAGTCATATACCCGCTCAACAGCTCCTTATCCCCCCTACCCAGTCAATCGCCAAGCTCACTGATTCTACTTCAAATGCATCTTAACGTCACTGCCCAGCCCTTCCATCCTGACCACCGCTGTCACATGCCAAGCTCTTGCTACTGCTTGTCTGCATTCCGGCAATCTCACTGCTCCGCCCTTCCATCCGTCTGCACCTACCCTGCAGCCTGGGTGCGTCCTCTGAATCCCAAATCTTATCATGTCGCTCCTTTGCGATGAGCATCAGGACATAATCTAAAAATAATATGGCCTTGGGCTTGACCCAGCCCTTTCTCATCCCTCCAGCATCCTCTCTCACCACTCCATCTCCTCCTCACCCACAGAATCGTTGCGGTTCCACTAGGTCCCCTCGACACTGCTGAGTCCTCTTGCTGGAATGTCCCCAAACCCTCCTCTTCCCTGACGCCTGCATAGCCTTGAAGACTCCGCTTGGAGGTCCCCACCTTCAGGAGCCTCAGGCCGTGTTCAGGGCCCCGTCCTTTTACTGACTTCCTCTTGGAGTCTGTCATGTTGTGTTTTCATTTTCTTTACCTCTCACTTGCTTACGAGCAACTTGAGGCAGGGATACGACCTCTTTGCATCTCGATCTCTAGAGCCAGCACAGTGCCTGGCACAATGGGACGCTCAGTAAAATAAACAAAGGAGACTGGGTGGAATCGAACGACCCTTTCTTACCACTGAGGATCTGTGTATTCCTACTCTCGTATTCATACTTGTCGCTCAGAAACTTGGTGCCACAGCCGCGCTTCTCCAGCCAGTCGTAGCAGCAACAGTCGTGGGTAGCACAGCACCTGTGATGAGAAGACACTGCTGGGGCCGCCTCCTCACAGCTCCAGGGAGCCTGGTGCTGAGTGGTCTTGCCCCCTTGACCTTGAGTTTGCAATAGTCCAGAGCACAGTTTCGAATGTACTGGTGACTTTTTCCAGCCGGGACTTCCTAGGGCTCTGTGAAGATGAGACATCAGCACTTCCCTTGCAGCTTCCAGCCCTATGGGGGTTACAGGTGGGCAGAGGGAGGGGAGGGCTGGATGGTCTCACCGATCTGTCGCATCCTTGGGTGACCCTTTGTCGCCGAAGCCACAGTAGCAACCATAGAAGGCATAACTGAACACAGGTTCTCTTCCTGTCAACAAATGGATCATTTTCCGGAACTGCAGCAAGTCCCCGTGGGTCTGCAGCAGGGCTGGAAGGAGGTCATCTGTGAGGAGCCTGGCGCTGTGTCCTCTGCCTCTCTCTGCCACTCCCCATCCTCCCGTGGCGTCTCTCCAGCCCGTTGAGAGAGCCTACCACAATGGGAAGGAAAGCTGGGAATAAGGGTGCTTCCCCCCACCCTCCCTGGTGACTCCCCTGCGGCCAGAGGTCAGGGTTCACTCTTACCAAAGGCCATGGTCATGGCCAACAGCAGGAGGGTCTTCATGTTGACAGTCTGTGTGGAAGAAAGGCAGAGGGGCTGGCCTAGACTCTTCTCTCAGGTAGTCCCAGGTTCTGCCCCAGCCCCTGCTCTCCTGCTTGCACTCAGCAACCTCAGAGAAAGAAATCTTCCAGGAAGACGCAGACATGCTCCGCAACCTAGGGCGACAAGCTTCGTCACACATCAAACACACGAGGAGCGTGCATGCGCAAGACCTCCCGACCCTCCCCACCTCTGCCGAATGCTTTCACACACGCGCAGGCCTCAGACTCCTTGAGAGCCCCCCGCCCACATGTTATTAAGGAGCCCTCCATGCTCCTCATCAGGCTGAGCGTTCTTGGCATTTGCAACCAGACCGTCCCAACTAACTGGGACATCCCCAAGGTCACAGGTTGTGTGTTTCTCGTTAGACATATCTCAGTTGTTCCTAACCAGATCCAAGGCTTTGGAATTCCATCCGTGGAGTCTGATCCCCAATATTTTGCTCCAAAACTAAAGCAGCACCCTCTCCTTGCAAGACTTTCTAACTCCCTACACATATGTTCCTAACCAGATCCAAGGCTTTGGAATTCCATCCATGGAGTCTGATCCCCAATATTTTGCTCCTTGCAAGACTTTCTAACTCCCTACACATAGTCACATGCACAAATGTGTAGATACTCACATATATATGCTTATACTATACACTCGCACACCCACACAGCACACTTGTGCACACAGACCCTCTTGTACACACCAAATCATGTGCATGCATGTTTATGTTCACGTGTGCCTACATACACATGCACAAACACACATGCGCACATATACACAACACAGTCAGTCTCAAAGGCAGCCAATGAGCAGGGACTTCTATTCTGACAGAACATGAATTCCTGGGTGTTTAACTCTCAGAGGAAGGCCAAGTTGATACCTCCAGGTATCTGTCTTGTTTATTCCGAACTCCAGCTCCCCTTAAATAGCTGCTCCCTCTGGAAGTTGGGAGTTGGTGGGTTATGCAAATTGGGTGGGGGTGTGGCTAGTTTGTGGACTCAGAGTTTGGCATGCCCGTACCCCTGGGCAATCCTCTTTTTCTTCTCCGCGGTACCTGTCAAGACAGAGCTGAGGATGGAAAATCCTTATCTGTCATCAGTTGATGCCAAACATTTAGATTACTTCGTGATCTTTCCGTGGGCCTCCTTCCTGACTGAGCAAACTCTCATGACCAACTCTGGGTGTGAGCACCAGGCCCTTTCATGAGAGGGCAGGGGTATCTGCTATTGCAGGCCATGAACTCATCTGCATGGCCAACGGGACCAATGACTGAGTGGGGACCGCGCCTTTTTCTTCGGCGAAATATGGCATTTAGGAATAAGAAAGGGAACGTTTCCATTATTCATTCCTTCAATCAATCATTCATTCACAGGAAGTACATACTCAGCCTCTACGAAGTAGAGAAGTGCCAGGACCCATGCGAGCCTCTGGGGAGTGATGAGGGCTCGTCCTGTCTCCTGGGTACTCCAGGGAAAGGGGTACCATGGAGCAGATGATCCCTTCCTACTGACTTGGGCCAGCACCTCCGCCTTCTCTTTTTGCTTCTTCTCCTCCCATTTTGGAAAAAGCCAGAGACTGCCCCCAAGTTCCCCCTAGAGTTCTGCCTCCACCTTTTCCCCAGTCCTTACTTACCTGTTTGGAGACAGAGCTGATTGAGGTTTTCCTGGATCTATTGTTCTTTGTTCTTCAACCATCAGGGACGAAGTGACTCCAGCTTTAATTTCTAAAGCAAATATCTTTTTTTCCTGCCTTCCAATACGTGTTAAGAATTTAGCTTCCATGGCCTTATGTCAACAAACACTCCCTGATACCAATCACAAAAACGTAAGCGTGGCACAGGCTGTGGTGCTCATAAACATTCCGTCTGCTCCCCATGTTCCCCAGGTCCCTTCCAGGTCTGCAGACCCAGGAGACTGGTTCTGGCTAGAAAACATGAGCCTTGGTGCTGAAGGTCACTTCCAAGTTGAAACAAGAAAAAGAATCATGTGCAGTGCCCCATGCTTTCTTTGCTCCTTGTGGAGAAACCGGAAGAGGGGAGCAGCTTGTGTCCTTGAGTCACGGCACAGACGAAATCCGTCCTGGAAAGTCCCCCAGACCCTCGGTGGACTCAGCAAGAGAGAAACTTTTGCTGTGTTAAGGCACTGGTCATCGAGATTGGTAGTGACTACAGCATAACCTAATCTATGCTAACAGCCTTGTAGGCAGCTTCTGTCTTGAAGATACAATCTACTCCTAGTGCTAGGCCTGCGTTATAGGTTGGAACAATGTCCCTTATCAAATTCTCATGTTGAAGTTTTAACTTCCAGTATCTCAGAATGTAACTTATTCAAAAATAGGGTCTTTGTGGATGTGATCAGTTAAGATAAGGTTATTAGGGTGGGCTTAATCCCACATGACTGGTGTCCTTATAAACAGGGGAAATTTGGACACAGAGACGCACGTACAAGGAGGACACCATGTTAGGATGTAGGCGGAGAGGCGGGGGATGCTTCTACAAGCCAAGGAATGCTAAAGATGGCCAGGAAACTGGCAGGAGCCAGGGGAGAAGAATGGGACAGATCCTCCCGCACAGTCCTCGGAAGGAACCAATCCTGCTGGCACCTTGACCTTAGACGTCCGGCCTCCGGAACTGCGAGCCAACACATTCTACTGTTTAAGCCCCTCAGCGTGTGGTACTTCGTACCTAGCGAACAGCCCTCACAAAGCTGACGCAGCCTTCTCCGATCCCCGTCAGTCTCCTCCGCTCTTCGCAGTCTGGGATTTCTGCTCCCATAGCCGTTCGTTTTAGGCCTAAGTCAAGGTTCAGAGCTGAAGGGCTCGACCTTTGCCTTTTGTTAAGCATCTCGACTTCGGGAACAGGTCATTTCTACAATAGGCCGACTGTTCTACCCTCTCTCCACCGAATCCTGGTGGCCCTGGTATTGCTCCCAGGCCCCGACACTCAAGGAAGGATTCTGGCGGCATCACACATTGCCTCTCCTTTCCCCGTATTTTCAGGAGTTTTTCCAAGAATTCAAAGTTTGCGATTTGGCCTCCTGTCCAGATACCTTCACCCAAGGAATAATTTTAGCACTTGGAGTATGTCAGTGAAGAAAACAAAAATCTCTACTTGTGGGGCTTTATTTTCGTGGAGAGAGACAAACAACAAACAAAAGACATGACACATGAATTACATAGTTTGTTAGGTGGTGATAATGCAGTGGACTGTAGGTAAAGCTTTTCTATGTATGTAGTCATTTAATTATTTATATCAGTATATACTCATTATTGTCATCTATGGGTTATAAGTCAATGCCATCATTTTTTATTTATTTTTGCTCGAATTGTCCTGTCCCATCTTGGCCATAGAGAATATCTTCAAGTTAACACCTGTGTCCTTCTGGCATGCCCTCTTTATTATCATTTTTTTCTTAGAACTTTCTTACTTTCTGGCATCATGAGATGGTCTAAGCTTATCTTGTAGTTTATCTTTCTAAGCCTTGGGATCAGCCATTTTTCTTAGAAACGCTGGATTCTTCCTTCCTTCCTTCCTTCCTTCCTTCCTTCCTTCCTTCCTCTCTCTCTCTCACTCCCTTCCTTCCTTCCTCTCTTTGTCTCTCTCTTTCTCCCTTTTTCCCCAACTCCCTCCCTTTCTCCCTCTTTCTCTCTCTATTTAACTTCTTCATCCTCTTCCTCCTCCTCCTTCTTCTCCTTCTCTGCCTCCTCCTTCTCCCTCCTTTATCTCTCCATTTATTTCATTCTTTCATTTCTTTTAACAGAGTTTTGCAGTTTTCCTCATATAGATCTCGTATTTATTTTGTAAGAGTTATACTTAAGTATTTCATTTTGGGGTGTGAATATAAATGATATTGTTTTAAATTTTAAGTTCCAATTGTTCATTGTTAATATATAAGAATGCAACAGATTTTTGTATATCAATCTTGTATTCTGCAATAAGGTTATAATTGCTTATTAGTTCCAGGTTTTTGTTGTTGTTTTGTTGATTCTTTGGGATTTTCTACATAGACAATCATGTTATCTGAAAAAAGACAGGTTTAATTCTTTCTTCGCAATTAACATACTTGTATTTCATTTTCTTTCTTTATTGCATTAACTAGGACTTCCAGTATGATGTTAAATAGGAGTGTTGAGAAGGAGCATCTTTGTGTTATTTCTGATATTAGCAGAAAAGCATCTAGTTTCTCACCATTAAGTATGATTTTAGTTATAGTTTTTTTTTTTTTTTTTGTAGATGTTCTTTATCAAGCTGGGGAAATTCCCTTCTATTCCTAGTTTGCTGAGAGATTTTTTTTTTTTTTTGTAAATCATGAATGAATGTTGAATTTCATCAAATGCTTTTTCTGCCTCTATTGATATTATCATATGGTTTTTCTTCTTTAAACTGTTGATGGGATGGGATACATTAATAATTAATTTTCAAATGTTGATCCAATCTTGCACGTCTGGAATAAATGCCACTTGGTTGTGAGGTACAGTTCTTTTTATACATCGTTGGATACAATTTTTGAGAATTTTTGCACCTATGTTCATGAGAGATGTTAGTCTGTATTTTTCCTTTTTTTAATAATGTCTTTGTCTGGTTTTGCTGTCAGAATAATGCTGGCTTTATGGAATGAGTTAGGGAGTATTCCCTCCGTTTCTAATTTCTAAAAGAAATTGCAAAGATTGTATAATTTTTTTCCTTAAGTATTTGGTAGAATTCACCAGTGAAACCATCTAGGCCTGGTGGTTTCTGTTTCGGAAAATTATTAATAATTGATTCAATTTCTTTAATAAATATCGACCTATTCGATGATCTATTTCTTCTTGTATGAGTTCTTGTGTGAGTTCACTGAGTGAATGAGAACAGGAGCAAGATGTCAGGCATCAATCTGATGGCATAGTGTCATCGCGGGGGCATGATTCTGGTGATGGAAGCTGCGAGAATCTCTTTACGGTTTAATGAGCAGCTTCCTGTTGTGGCAGAAGCAGCA